GTGTTAGTTTCTTGTGTAGAGCAAAGTGATTCAGATATATATATATATGTATACGTGTGTATACATATATATGTACATTCTTTTCCATTATGGTTTATTACAGGAAGTTGAATACAGTTCCCTGCACTATACAGTAGGACCTTATTGTTTATCTGTTTTATATTATGTTGGTCAAAAGATTTGTTTGAGTTTTTCCATAGTATCTTATGGAAAATTTTTGGCCAACCCAATATATAGTAGTTTGTATCTGCTAATCCCAAACTCCTATTTCTCCCTCCTCCACCCCCTTCCCCCTCTGGTAACCACTCTATGTCTATGAGTCTGTTTCTGTCTTATAAATAAATTCATATTTTGGATTCAAAATTTATATTTTGGATATAAGTGATATCATAAGGTACTTGTCTTTCTTTGTCTGACTGACTTAGTATGATAATCTCTAGGTCCTTCTATGTTGCTGTAGATGGCATTATTTCATCCTTTTTTACAGCTGAGTAATATTCCATTGTATACATGTACCACGTCTTCTTTATCCACTCATCTATCGATGGACACTGAGGTTGCTTTCATGTCTTGGCTAATTGTGAATAGTGCTACTGTGAACACTGGGGTGCATGTATCTTTTTGAATTGCTATTTTGTCCAGATATATGCCAGGGAGTGGAATTGCTGGATCATAGAGTAACTGTGAGCATGTACTATAAACAAAGCCTTGGGCTGGGTACTGAGGATGCAGAGAATCTCCTCAGTGCTTGAAATGTCTATTCTAAGACTGACTCCCAAAGACTAGCACACTCAGTAAAAGTAACACCTGTATTCACAAAGGTCCCAGGAAACAGGGTAAACCTGAGAATGCCTCTCTGCATTTGTCACCATGACTGCAGCAATGGCCACCTCGTGACAATAGGATTAACCTCTTCCTCGATAAAAATCATAAAAAGCCAAAACACAGAAACAAGATTTAAAATATTTTCAGTGTGTACAATTTTTCAAACTGTAATTGAAAAATGACTCTATTTCTTTGGTGGCCTATAAATTCAAGCATGAGATCATGTGAACACAGCATTTCCTCTAAACATCAGATGTGGGTTAGAGGAGCAGTTAACATTTTAAGCTTCCCTCCTTGTTTCTAGGAACAAATTTGCTTGCAACTTCAAACTCATAGTTCTGCAAATTACAGAGACCAAAAGTGCAAATGAAAAAAATCTCTTTTCAGATAACTATCTGAAGCTTCCATATTAGGTATAATGATTTTTTTCCCCGGGATTAGGACAGATTGCATGGGGAGCCTAGGCTTTCATAAAGAGGGGGGTGGGAATTGACTTGGGCCTTCATTTTCTCACAAAAGACACAATGCAAAGCACATCTGTGAACATTGCATAATTTGTTATGTTCTACAAAGAGGTGGGTTTTTGTTGTACACATACCAAAGCTATTTGGTACTGTTCACCAATAATCTCTATTCAGGTCCAGAAAAGAAATTGGCCTCAGAAGAGTGAAAGGAGAGTAAATTTTTCTTTAAAAATTAGATACAGATTATCGCTTCAAAATGCAGGAGGGAATTTTACAAGTGACGGTGCACTGATTAGCTTTCCAATGGACATCCAGTCCTTTATGAATCACATACTAGCTGTGGTCAACTGTGACCAATGTGGTTTATTACTCTCCTGAAGAGCTGAACTGAGATTACCCATCTAATTTAATTGAGAAATGTTGGGTGAACTTGAACTGTTTCATGGACATGAATGACCAGAGAATTTATTTGATAAGACATTAAAGGCTGAATATGGTAACTATCTCTTTGATGGTTTGATACAGTCATTTCTTTAGTTCATTAGCAAGTCTCTCGTAGATTTTTGTTGTCGTTATTATTCTTTGGGTGATTATGTGAGCAGCTGAAATGAAAAATGAATGTTTCTGTACAACATCACTAGAAAAAGTTTTAAAACTTACCTTTATCGGTAAATACTCATGACAGTTTTCAATATAGTCTGAAAAGTGACATCAACTTTCAAGGAAAGGAAGCTAACAGTAATGAAATTGTGGGCAAATTAATAAATCCACTGTATTTTCATGTGATTGTCCCTAAATTATTTTTAAATATTGTTTTCTGATTTCATTTATTAAAGGGAAAAAAGACTTCAGGAAGCTAACACCCTTCACATTTTCTTGTAAACTTGGGAACTTTTGTTGATGTCACCTCAATGAAACATTTAAGATTACTTTATCAGTTACAGAGCACACAAGTTAGCATCAGATGAAAAGGTGCTTTCTCTTAGTATGTCTGTTAACATTTAACGTAAATCCTGCTGTGTTCCCAATGACTAGTGCTAAGGTATAATTTGGACATTTGCATCTTTCTTAAAAACTATATTTAAATATGATAGTTTTAAAACTACTCAGAGAAACTCAGCGATGTAAACTCTTAAGAATAAATGACGAAATCTCAGATCATGTTCCTAGTGACTCTTTAAATGGAATTTTTCATTGAAACTTTGTCATTAAAATAGAAAGGCCTTTTGGTTGTGCCCATACAAGCATAATAAATTGTATATGTTTGTGATACTGAATGACTCTTGCCCATATGCTGCACTGCAAAGCTACATGAATGAGGCATTTACCAAATCAGGCCCACCACATTAAACAGAAAAACAATCTTTATTCATGGTAACTTATCAGTTTCAATTAATCAACCTTAACAATGGAAATTCTGATGTGTTCAAGCAACTTGAAAGCAATAGGTCATCTTGAGGGCAGCCATGTTGTGTCTTTGTGCCTAAGGTTTCAAACAAAGGGACATCTTCAATAAATATACATGCATATACATACATACATGTGCATATATATACATACCAATGGATGGCCATATCTATGCCAGTTACACCAGCCAGAACGCATGTTAAGTGTTTATGACTTTTATCATAGCAAATGTAATTGCTTTCCTCCTAGTATTACTTTTTGAGCTCTGTAAGTGTAAACAAAAGGAAAGAAATTTCCATTGGATGACCATCCTTTCAGTTTCTGTGCTGCTATGTGAATAGCATTGTGCAGACCATTCCAATGGTTTTGAAAAGGGGTAACCATTGGTTTGATTTGGTTACACGGTTTAGTAAAGCACTCCCTCCCACTGCCTTAGGGTCTGTGAAAGGTCTGTGACCTGTTTAGAACTGCCAAGTGAAATGTCATGTCGCCCCTCCCAAATGGGAGTATCTGCATTCATTTGATCAGTATAAAAAATGATTGGGGATGGTGAGAGCAGTGCTTTTGAATTGCAATTTATAGCAGTTTACAAAAATGCACATTGTTGGAAAAGAAAACATGGAAGTGTTTCTTTCTAAATTGCATTACCTGTGAAATGTCATTAGTCTTTTAAGGATATTTACATCCTTTTTTTAAAATTATTATTTAGGAGGCTTACTTCAACTAAGGAAAACCAGAATTTTATTATATGATCATTTTTTTAAAACTTGTGATTTGGTTCTAGTACCAGAATTTAAGGAACATAATGTGTCCATGTTCTTAGGATAAACATAATTTGTTGTCATTTCCACTTATTCATTCTGTAAGATGATCTTTGCTAATCAGTTGCATTAGCGGAGCAGTCCCAATTGTCTTTCCCAGATTCTATAGGAGATTCATTTGCTGGTTGATGTCTTGTCTGCCGGATTTCTAACAGGGAATCTGAAACCACAGACATATGTAATTCTCCCAGGTCTCCATTATCTCTTCAATGGTTTACTAATGAAACTTCTTCGTTGGATGAATACTTACAAAATTATGGTACCTGTCGATTCATCTACATGTATGAACAGTTTCACAAAAGAAAATGTTATTTCTTTTCTTGAAATGCATACAAGAGTCCATGAACTTTATCCTGAAAGTTAAGGTAGGATGTTCAAGTTCATAAGTCTTAATACGGCCACTTGGGTTTCTGAGGTCTGGAAGTCTTGAAAACTCCATCTCTTCACCTTAGGCAGTTGGTAGAATCGGACATTATTTTGAAGTATTCTATCAGTAAGAAAAGTTACCTCAGGAAAAAGTCCTCAGAACTTCCCTGGCTGATAATGGGAGGAGAGAAAGAGAAGCCCTGCTTCAGAAAAGACTTGACCCAGATACACTCCCTAGCACTCCACTTTGAACCTCCCAACCATTGAAAGCTGAGCTTGTCACGTTTTTATCTTTGTTCATGTTACGCCTTGGAATGACAGCCAGGCTCTGTGTTCCCCTCTCCCACTGCCCCGCCGGCCGTAAGTGTCCACATTGACACCTACCGGTGACCGCAGGCTGCAAGTCTTTGTTGCCTTCTCCACGCTCCTGGCTTTCACTGGGATTAGCTCAGGGCCTTTGTTCCCCTTCAAAGCTGGAACATCACATCCCATGTTGTGGCTTTCCTGTCTCAGACCCCCAACGCTTTCCTCACAATTTACACACCAGGTAAATGTCCCTCCCTAGGGAGCAGAGCCCAGCCTGGGGTGAGGGGTGGGGAGGGCAAAACCTCCCCATTCCCCAACTTCAGAACCTCCCCCCCCAAGTTGATTTTCTCTCCTTCTTACTTAAAATTTTCTATTTCATAAGGAGGAAAGATTGAAAACACAAATGGAAATGTAAACCTGAGTTAGGTCCTTGAACCCAAACACAAGTCCACCCCTGCCTTGTTTTATTCTCTTACAACGGCTCCTAATTCTAGGGAGGTAACTCCGGGAAGATCATTTACTGGCCCTGGTCACAGGCACCTCAGACCATTTCTCCAGTCTGGGACAGCAGGAACACTATCTCAGGGGAAACTTCACCGGCACACGCTCCTTTAAAGGCCTTAGAGAAGCTGACCGCCTGACTCAACTGCCCCCACCCTCCCCTCCAGGTTACTGAGGAGGCCCCCCCCAGCCGGGGCCAGGCCTTGGAGGACCCACTAAAAGTGAGGCCAACAGTGAAAGTGTGTGGGGAGTGGTTTACGTACAGTAACTAAAGCAAATTACACCTCTCTTCATCTCTCCCTCTGTTTAGTGAGGTTAGAAAATCTGGAGGAAGAATTTCCGGAGGAAAAGCAGTCGACGCCCCAGAACACCACAGAGAGCTACACGGGTCCTCCCGAGTAGCGGCAAAGAGCACTGCGCTGCTCAGAGCCGGGGCTGGGGGGCAGGAAGAGAGCTCTTACCACCCGGGCGTAAGGCCTGCCTCCCTGGCGAGGGACACTGTCTTCAAGGCGTTTCTAACCTGACTGTACCGTCTTCAGATGCCGCCTACTAATTGGCGAATCGCACTTGAAGAGAACGCAAGTGTGCGCTCTGAGCGCACCGTTCCAAACCCTTCAAGAACCTGCTGGCTGGTGCGTGGTGAGCGGGGCGCACAGACCCAGAGCCGCCGCCACATCCATCCGGGCGCTCCCTGGGCTCAGCGGGCTGCCCCAGCGCCTTAGGGTGGGAAGGAACGAGCTTCAATTAAAATTTAAAAGCTTGAGGCACTCACCCTGTGTCATTCCCTCTCTAAATCCACCTGGAATCCCTGTAACGCTAACTCAAACTGATTTGCCGTCTACTCATCCACCAACTGATCCATAAAGGCGTACCAGAAAAACCTCGAAGGAGATTTTAAATGTCCTCCAAGGAGGTCCACTCTTACATAGGCGCGGGGCTCCTAGACATATCTTAAACGCCGTAAACAATTCTTTAGTAAGTGTGGAAACTCTCTGGGGTTGTGTTTCCGGGTAAGTATCAGGATGAAGATTCACGCATCTCTTCTTTCCGAATGTCAAGGCACCATTTTCTGAAAGACCGGTTTGCCTTCCTCCGTGCGTAATGGCCAAACCAGCCCTTTCGGTTCCCTTGTTGACAAGTCAGGCCCGGTCTGAAGCCCAGTTTCAAGATCGTAAGCTCTGGCTTACAGATTTCTAAAGATGTTTATTAAATCTCAAGAAATGTATTTGTGGTGGCTGTCACATAAAGCTGATGTACTCTGGTGCAAAAGAAAGCTACAGAGACTATTTGTTTGTGCGTAAAAGGCATCAGATTTAATTGGAGAGAGACGTGGTATTTTCAAGGCGAGGACACGGGGTGGCATAGCGCCCTGAAGCATTATTCGAGCTTCATCTACTATGCACTATATGCCACCGTCTCCAAAGGAGTGTTGCCCTAGAAACTTGTTTTAAATCTGCTGCTATATATCAACACCTTGTTTTAGCAGTCCTTGGCTGAATTACAGTTACACAGTTTGGCGCTTCTTTCAAATTTCCTCCCATCAGTTTGGCTAAAGAAAGGAATTTTTCTCCTTTAGAAATGAATTGGCTTAATTAGTAAGTAGATTAATGGCAATTGCTGGTGAGTTGGTTTCCAGCAGAGTTTCACCAGAGAGGGTTAATCGGAGTCAGGTCTGGAAGCTTTCCCAGAACTGGCTGCCAGCCATTTCCACCAACCAATCAACCCTACAAGAAGCAGAGGAAGTGAAATAGAATTTAAATTCTCTGGGCTGTTATCCTGGATGGAAATTCCTTGGAAGCAGGCTCCTGGTTGGGTGTAGGATGGACTGTTTCACTTTAGAATTTTCAGAGAAACCTCGAAAGTTTTCACCTTCAAGATTTATCTGGGTATCAAAGAGGAATTTCACATGACACAATGAGTGACTCTACAGAACACTGAGGGTGCATTGAAAACGCCTGTGAGGTTCTTAGTCAATTTCAGGTTTTACAGAAGTTGTGCAAACCTCCCAAGTTCCACCCTAAATCTTATCTACCAGAAACTTTTTACAAACTTCAGTTGTGTGTTCTGCAGCCTTTTCACTTATTTTTTCCATAGTGATAAAAATGCATTCATAGTTTAACTTGCAGCTGCATTACTCTTGCAAAAAAAAAAAAAAATCCCTGCTGAGAAATGCATATAATAGGAAAAACAGATCGGCTGGACAGCAGTGTAATTAATGCCAGAAAGGGCTGAGGCCGGTTTCATAGTTTGTCTTTTGAGGATATCAAGACGAGACCTGGTGAAAAATGACGCATGCTTTAGCATTTCAGAAAGCTGGCAACTGGCAGTGCTTTTCCTTTTTTCTTTGACTTTCTGCCTCAGAACAAAGAGGTCGGCAGAACTAGCTAGGTTGTAATGAGTTCTATGTCCCTAGCACATTAAGTGCATCATGGAAACATATTGTATCGAAATAGTTTGGAGGAGAATACCGGGGATGAAAGAGAATGGGTGCTTTGATCAGCTCCCTGGGGTCCTGAGCGCGCACAGACTGACTTGCAAGGCGTTATTCAGCTCCAGCTAGACACACTTACAACACCATTCAAAGAAATTTGCATATCTGTAATTTATCACATTGGTCCAGAACATTTTTGCAAGGTAAATAAAAGTTGGCTGAATAAAAAAAAATCAATCATCGCAGATATAGTGGAAACTGTGAAGCCTGTCTCCATTAAAAGCATAAATAAATATGTCCATGAAACATTGATGATTTAGAGGCTGATTTTATTATAAACTGTTCTTAGAGCAACAGGTTATGTGCTGACAGAGTGGCTGCCATTTCTTTGTGCTTCTACTTTAGGGGAGTGTATGTGCAGCTTCCCATTTGAATAAAGGCAGAAAGTTGAATAGATGTGTGGCTATAACCAGCCCGCGACATGCAGAGCAAAATTAGTACACACTTTGAGGAGATGTGAAAGATGGTTCAGTCTCCTTGGTGTCTGCAAATGCTAAGGTTAAATTTCATTTCTTCTCCTGTTGATTTCGTTGCCAAGCCCTGGTTGCTGAATTTAGAAGCTCAAAGGGATGAAATATCCCGACATCCGGTCAATAGGAAAACTTGCTTTGGAATGCCCCATGAGAACAAGTGAAAATTTAACAGGCAGGCATTGTTCTGAGTTTTTAAACAACCCAGTTAAACAGCAAACAAGAATCTTCAACTTGACCTTGAAAAAGGCTGTGTGCCTGCAGATAATCTATCAAACAACTGTGGATGACAATGATATATTTCAAAGTATTGTCAGATGAAAAGATTGATAAATTTGCTGCTGCGAAGGGAGAACTTTGGAAACAGGCAACAGGCAATTTACTGCACTCCT